CTCTCTCTCTCTGTGCCTCTCTCTCTCTGTGCCTCTCTCTCTCTGTGCCTCTCTCTCTCTGTGCCTCTCTCTCTTTGTGTCTCTCTGTGCCTTTTTCTCTCTCTCTGTGCCTCTCTCTCTGTGTGCCTCTCTCTCTCTGTGTGCCTCTCTCTCTCTCTGTGTGCCTCTCTCTCTCTCTCTGTGTGCCTCTCTCTCTGTGTGCCTCTCTCTCTCTCTGTGTGCCTCTCTACCTCTCTCTCTGTGCCTTTTTTTCTCTCTCTCTCTGTGCCTCTCTCTCTCTGTGCCTCTCTGTCTCTCTGTGTGCCTCTCTCTCTCTCTCTGTCTCTCTGTCTTCTCTCTCTCTCTCTCTCTCTCTGTGTGCCTCTCTCTCTCTCTCTGTGCCTTTTTCTCTCTCTCTGTGTCTCTGTCTCTTTCTCTCTTCCTCTTTGTCTCCCTCTGCCTCTCTCTCTCTTTCTGTCTTCCTCTCTCTCTATAGGCGGTGAGATTGCAGCACTTCAATCCTGGATTATTGAATCTTGATATGGTGAAACATATCCACAACTGGATATTATGATTCAATAAACGAAGATTGAAGTGCTTCTATATATTTGGGATCATGGACAGATTCTGGAACAGCGGCACTGATTGGTACAATACAATCTATCTAGCGCACAACTGTATTGTATTTACAAAAAGTCGGTAGTAAAAAGGCATGTAGAAAACAATGGGATGTCAAATGATCTAGCAGCGGAAGTCTGAAAAGATGTGCAGCATCAGCGTCCACTGCCCCTGTGTGGTCTCGGTTTACATGCCCCAAAAACATGTAAACCGAGACCACACAGGGGCAGTGGACGCTGATGCTGCACATCTTTTCAGACTTCCGCTGCTAGATCATTTGACATCCCATTGTTTTCTACATGCCTTTTTACTACCGACTTTTTGTAAATACAATACAGTTGTGCGTTTTTATCATTAAAATTCGTTTTACACTATGGAGGCGCTCCTTTTTGTCTTTTGTCTCTCAGATTGATGGTCCTTTGACCTGTAGGAGCTGCCTCTTCAGTGTGTTCGTTACTATTGCAACTGGCCGATATTGCACGTGGAGGTGCCAGTATTGTTTCCTGTCACTATTTCAGATGCTGATGAAATCACTTACAATGGATGCTGCTCCTTGATGTTTAATAGTTTGTTTCCTGAAGAATCAGCTGGTCTCCTGAGCACTGGTCCTGATATCTTGTTTTAGGGTGGCTCCTTTCCCTTGCAGGGTCCTATGGAGCCACCCTTGTGTGTGCTGGTAAGATGTGTTTGTCCTTACAGATGCAGCAAAACAAGACCAGGCACTGCCCTGCTCCCTGCTCTTCCCCTCTTCAAGGTAGTAGATGAACAGTTGCTGGAGTCTGCTCTGTCTCTTGTGATCTTGTACTGGACAGGAAGTACAGGGAAGCTGATCTAAGAGAGTTGGAGCTGTTCATAAACATTATGACTTTAAGTGCTTGGCCACTGTAAAATGTAAAGAAATACTTTGCTGACAATGTACATTTGTTTGATCCGTGTTGTTTATTAAAAAAAGTTTGAAAGTTTAATATTACTTTAATCTTTTATAGCTGCCCAGAGTGCAGCTTGGATCCTCTCCTAAAATCTAGAAGCGGAAGTCTCGGTTGCATACAACTGCATTCCAATGAGGACGCCTCGCCCCACCATCCAGAACCTTTAGAGTTGAAGTGTGTAAGGTGAGACGTCTCGTGTGGACAGATCTTCCCGGGGAGTTGGAGCTTCCTCCGCGTGTGATCAGGAATTGAAGAGAAACCAAAAGTCCTAATAAATACCCGGCTCTCCGTGTGACTTGGAGGTGACGTGTCACACCCCGCGAAGCAATCTTCTATTCCTGTCTTTGTGGGGGGGTTTCACAATTCCGCATTCCACGCACGAGGTGTTATAAAGGTCCCCGAACCTGAACTTGACACCCCTATATCAGCTGATCTCTGTATATTCACCACTTCACTTTTTTTCTTCACACATCACCTTGATCCGCAGATAAAAGTTCATCGACACCCCCTATGGCAGCGCCGCACGCACCCGGGAAAAAATAATTTTAGAGCCGCGGATAAGCAGATGGCCCCGTCCGGAAGGGAAGGGGTTAAAGAGCACATTATTTCTGCTGCAGTGCCGCCCAGCACCATTTCAAGCCTTAAAATAGATATTTCCACCAGTTTCCATGGCAGCAGCTACTGTACAGTTAAATCTATCAATAGCCATGAGCCAAGCCGCGAAAATATCACCAGTAGTGCAATGTTAATAGAAAACTTCAGGCAAGGCAATCCATGATTATATAGGACTGCATGCAGGTCTCACCAGGGCTCTGTGGGCAGGTGCCGGGCTTGTACTTTCGGTGTGGTGCTCTCCGGAGTTATGCCAGCGTGCATTTTTGGTTGCTGGGCCTCCAGTGCGTCCCTGCACCTTATTAAGAGGAGTTGGCTACCTCCAGGTACACCTGCATGTAATTTATCAACTCCATTAATATGCTCACACTTGGAGACTCGGATACATAGAGTTAGGACCACACCTTGCAGAGGTGCCTTGGCGCGGCAGTGTGGCTTCTACATATTTTTGGCCAAAAGTTTGTGCAACTAAAACCTCTGATTTTAACGCATACTGTTGACAGGGCTACTTGTTTGGTTGCAGGCTGGCTGGCTGGCAGGTTGAGGCTGGGGAATTTTTGTGTTTTGTATAGAAGAGAAGAAAGAATTAGAACCCAATCAGGTGCTGTCGGGAGGAGAGAGCAGAGTGATGGTTCACCAGCATGTCTTCTGCTGAAAATCCTGTTGGGGGAACCAGGTTATGGAGTCTGGTAGGGGTTCTTGAAACACAAGACTGGCTTAACAGAGTTACAGATCCTTTGGTAAGATAAAACAGTTCCCATATGTGTAGTTCATGTGTAGACGGAATTCAGCTGTAATGTCATGTATGTATGTTAGGTTCCCGTGTGTGCGTGTATAAATGATGTTGCATGTACAACATATCAGAGGTGTCCATTAATCCACAAGAGCCCGGCGCTCACAGGATCCCGCTGTTCAGTTAATGAACATATAATCAGTCAATTAAGAGTGTGCAGCACGCACTGCAAAACCAAATTAAAAATCTCCTTCTGGCTCCATTGCGGGAAATAGAATCTGTCACAAAGCGAATGTGTACGAGAACCCTTAAAGTGAACCTGTCACGAGAACAATATGGGGGAGGTTGCCATTGCTGAGCTCCAGAAACTGCTCACTACCCAGCTGTTATTCTGACCTCCGGCCTCAGAACTTTCAGTCAGAGACCCTGAAAAAAAAAAAGTCAGAAATGATCTGCATTCCCCCGGACCCAAAGATTGGTATCTGAGGAATTTTGGACCTCCCTCTTGAAGACCTTGGACTTAGAATTAGTTAGGACTTTATACCTGACCAGAATACAATAGCACAGCATTGGCTATGTCCCCCCAACATGCCTATTACATAGACCAGGTGAATTCTCGTCCTACGAGGGGAGGCCAAAAAGTTCTTATCCTCACCATGATCTAGCTGTCCTAGAGATCTGACATTTTGCAGGTTTATAGGTGGATATCTTAGTAATATGCATGGCCAATTGTTGTAGGTCGTGGTGAATTATAGTTAGAGCCAAGAGAAATGGAGTAGGTGTCATGCCGGACAAAGTTGAATACAGAGCCGTGATTAGGCTCCAGCGTGCATTTTTGGTTGCTGGGCCTCCAGTGCGTCCCTGCACCTTATTAGGAGGAGTTGGCTACCTCCAGGTACACCTGCATGTAATTTATCAACTCCATTAATATGCTCACACTTGGAGACTCGGATACATAGAGTTAGGACCACACCTTGCAGAGGTGCCTTGGCGCGGCAGTGTGGCTTCTACATATTTTTGGCCAAAAGTTTGTGCAACTAAAACCTCTGATTTTAACGCATACTGTTGACAGGGCTACTTGTTTGGTTGCAGGCTGGCTGGCTGGCAGGTTGAGGCTGGGGAATTTTTGTGTTTTGTATAGAAGAGAAGAAAGAATTAGAACCCAATCAGGTGCTGTCGGGAGGAGAGAGCAGAGTGATGGTTCACCAGCATGTCTTCTGCTGAAAATCCTGTTGGGGGAACCAGGTTATGGAGTCTGGTAGGGGTTCTTGAAACACAAGACTGGCTTAACAGAGTTACAGATCCTTTGGTAAGATAAAACAGTTCCCATATGTGTAGTTCATGTGTAGACGGAATTCAGCTGTAATGTCATGTATGTATGTTAGGTTCCCGTGTGTGCGTGTATAAATGATGTTGCATGTACAACATATCAGAGGTGTCCATTAATCCACAAGAGCCCGGCGCTCACAGGATCCCGCTGTTCAGTTAATGAACATATAATCAGTCAATTAAGAGTGTGCAGCACGCACTGCAAAACCAAATTAAAAATCTCCTTCTGGCTCCATTGCGGGAAATAGAATCTGTCACAAAGCGAATGTGTACGAGAACCCTTAAAGTGAACCTGTCACGAGAACAATATGGGGGAGGTTGCCATTGCTGAGCTCCAGAAACTGCTCACTACCCAGCTGTTATTCTGACCTCCGGCCTCAGAACTTTCAGTCAGAGACCCTGAAAAAAAAAAAGTCAGAAATGATCTGCATTCCCCCGGACCCAAAGATTGGTATCTGAGGAATTTTGGACCTCCCTCTTGAAGACCTTGGACTTAGAATTAGTTAGGACTTTATACCTGACCAGAATACAATAGCACAGCATTGGCTATGTCCCCCCAACATGCCTATTACATAGACCAGGTGAATTCTCGTCCTACGAGGGGAGGCCAAAAAGTTCTTATCCTCACCATGATCTAGCTGTCCTAGAGATCTGACATTTTGCAGGTTTATAGGTGGATATCTTAGTAATATGCATGGCCAATTGTTGTAGGTCGTGGTGAATTATAGTTAGAGCCAAGAGAAATGGAGTAGGTGTCATGCCGGACAAAGTTGAATACAGAGCCGTGATTAGGCTCCTCCATCTTCAAGGGAAATCTGCCCAAATAATCCATGAAGAGATGTCAGCTGTGTATGGAGAGGGTTGTCTATCATATGAGACTGCCAAACGATGGAAGAGAAAATTCAAGTGTGGTCGCACAAATATACAGAATGGGCAGAACTTCTTAGCCTCCACCCTGGTACACTAAGGGGCCGCTTTATAAATCTTTCACCCAGCAATATGCTGGGCGAATACCATTTGCTTGGCCTTCCCACCACTAGATGGAGCCAAAGAGCATAGGACCTTCCATTTGGCAAAGTCAGATAAAAAGTGACCCTGCTGCCAGCTGGAGAAGGCTAAAATAACAAAAGCAGAGGAACACTTGCCTGTTTGTCGGGCTGTGGGTTAAACCTATGCTCTGTCAAAGAGCTCCAAGTGCTGCTCCCAGACATTCCTGGGTGTGCTGGGTAACGTGTTCCCTGATGAGGTTGAGAAGGAAGCTGTGGGGAACCAGTAATCCCTCTGTAGAGGTCCAACTAGTCCCATGTGAGGCAAAGCTATTGGTCTGACTCTGCACCAAGACCACTGCTTCCCCACAGAGCGCAAGGATCCCACTCTGCAGCATGCTGGGAGGGGCCAGGCTTTTCTACTCGGGCTGTTGCTGCTTTAGAAAGGAATGAACTGTAAGATATTGCACACCATCTGTTGTGATGAACCTGGAATGTATTGTAGTGTAACCAGCTCTCTCTTTGGGACTGTCACTGCTCCTGAAGCTGGGGAATGCCAAACACCAATGCTGGGTGGGAATCTCAGCCACCCCTCCCCCCTCCCCTCCCCTCATGATTATATGTACTTTTACACTACAGATGGGATTTGACAGCACAGATTAGAAGTCCTGAATATCGGCACCATCTGGAGAAGTTGCTTTTCATTTGTCAGGCCACTAACACGCAGAGGAGGTTATAGTGAAGACGCAGCACACGTCTCATGTAAAGGTTTCATTCAGAATAATGATTTTATATTGCACAGCTACAAATAAACACAGCGTGTCCCTTGGTGCGTTCACTGTACAGGTTCAACATCATAATACTCAGATCACATTAAAACCGCGAGCACTTTACTACAACATTACAATGCTGAGCTTTGAGGAGAACATTTTCTTATAATACCATAAATATATCATTGCAATTTACCACATTCAATAGAATGTTATGGTGGAGGGAATTGTTTTGGCGTTATACTAGTTGCAGGGCAGGATACCCAAACCTATTTCAGTTCAATGAATGATGCCAACATCCTGGAACTAGGATGAGGCCGGAGCATCGGACAAAAGGTGGCTATGAATTTGAGGTTTGGGGGACCTCTCCCTGACAGTGATGTTAGGATGTGGCACTGTCTACACCCCTATGCATTCTTGTTACCATCTCCCTGACAGTGATATTAGGATGTGGCACTGTCTACACCCCTATGCAGTCTTGTTACCATCTCCCTGACAGTGATATTAGGATGTGGCACTGTCTACACCCCTATGCATTCTTGTTACCATCTCCCTGACAGTGATATTAGGATGTGGCACTGTCTACACCCCTATGCATTCTTGTTACCATCTCCCTGTCTACACCCCTATGCAGTCTTGTTACCATCTCCCTGACAGTTTTAGAAGCTATGATGTTGCGCCTCATATCTGGTTAATTCACTGAGAGGTGAATGGAACTATCTGGAAGGATTTGCAGATTGAGAAGTAGAATCGTTGCTGTACTTCTTTCTGGTGTTGGCATCCTTTTAGATGTTCATGATCCCTTCTGATTCCGGAGAGGCAGAGGACCATGTACATGTGGTAGGAGGCTAGTGATGTCTTTATATACGGCCATAGAGAGCCTCAAGTCACTTATTTTTAGGATGTAGAAGAAAATCTGAACTACAACCCTAATTATTCCACGAGCAGCTCCTAGAAATATGAAGTTGTGTTTTACAAGTTCTCTCTTTTTAGGAAGCCTCCTGTCAATGAGTTATGTGCTGCACAGTGCTGCTGGATTCATGTGACTGCTTGAAGCCCTAAACCAGGGGTAGCCAAACTCCGGCCCTCCAGCTGTGGTTAAACTACAAATCCCATGATGCATCTCTCTCCGGGAGTCATGTCTGTGGCCGTGAGAATCTTGCAATGCCTCATGGGATTTGTAGTTCCACCACAGCTGGAGGGCTACCCCGTCCCTAAATAAAGTAAATACATCCCCGTGACTAGGAACAAGATCTAGCATGCTGTAGCAGTAGCCATGCAGGGACTCGTAGTTCTCCTGTAATACTAAGGCACAGCAGGGTGTCCATACCTGCCGTAGTCTCATCATGGGATTATTGACACATTAATAGCAGAGCCAGTGTATCTCAGGCTTGCAGAAGCCATGTTGTAGCTGGAGTCATGTGGCCTACTGTATACAGCGCTCCCATTAGCTCTACAAAGGCGCGGATAGAGATTAACCTCAACCCACCAATCACAGTCGAAGAGACAGTACCTCCAATGAGTCCTTTTCAGCCTTATTGCACCAGGTACCAACTATCCTCACATAGATACTCCGCAGACCTGCAGATTGGATGCATGAGGGGGCATCTTGGTGACAGAGGTGGCCAGTGCCAACTTCCCCTATAGTGGTGGCCAATAGAGGCAAACCATTCAAGAACTGTCTGCTTGCACAAAAACCTAAAATGATTGCATCTTCCAGGCTGACCTATAACATCCAAGAGAACATCTTGTTGACATCACAAGTCAACATTTAAAGGGAAAGGAAATAAAAATTGCTGCCTGCCTATCCTACTGTATGAGTAAACTCAACTCTGTGCAACGTATTTCCTAAATCTGAGCAATGTCTTCCCCGGAGCACAGGCAGCAAAATACTGACCTTTCCTTCCTTAGGGGTAGAAGTAGCACTTTCATCACTTGCTCATTGCACCCCTATGCATTTATATCACTACAATGAGATCACCGAGCGGCCGGGAACAATAGGGAAGTGGATGAAAGATGCCAATGCTCCTGAATGGCAGTGTCCTGAGGCCAATGATGGCGATTGTTTTTGCTCCATGCGTTGTCACACAGAGGAGCGGAAATCCTTTATGGCATAAGAAAGCTCCACCTAATGACATGAAAAGATTTACCATTACCGCAGCTGACCGAATCATATCGCTTGCCGTTCCGGCAAACAAAGGTCGTTCCTCGGTTTCTAAATAAATTCAGATGTAAAGTCATTTCAGTCCTAAGAAGCAGATACGACATCTACATAATGCCACATTACCCGTCCCCTCCTGCTGGAGCCTTCCCTGTACAGGGAACTCTCCTCTTATCCTGGAGCTTCAGAAGAAGGAAGTATCGGAGGAGAAGGCTCCAGCTAGTCTGAAGTCGTCCTTAGTCAGTACACTGTACATGCGTTGGGGCAGGGCCTTGGAATAGGGGGCGGGTCTCGGAATTGTATCGCGCAGGATGATTTCACGCCCTGCCGGGGGAGGGAAATCCGTTCCGGACATCAACTTCCTGTCTTCAGGTAAGATGGACCTTTTGGGATCTTCATCCAGCGGGCCCAGGGTTGCAGCCTAAGAACAAAAATGAAATATTTAGAACTATCGCCGAGGCCTTTTATCGAGTTCAGCTCTCACACCTGTATTAGGCCCCTTTAACACGGGCTGATCAGGAGGGGATCTGTGTATGGAACCCCCTTCTGATCACAGCTGTACAAAGCCAATGTCATGGCGGTGACATCCATGTCTATACAGTTTCATTCCTCAATTACCGGACACCATGTCTGTCTATGTGGAATCGGATGTAAACAGACATGTGTACGTTTACATCACATTACCCTCGATCCGGCATGATCAGGTCTGATTTTTCTAGACCTGGCCGGAGTTGGAGGTAGCCGGGTGAAAACGAACGTCCGTCCTTTTAGATCCGGCTGACCATAGACTAACATTGGGTAGCCGATCGGGTCCGCCTGAAAAACCTGGCAGGCTGCCTGTGTAAAGGGGCCCCATACCCCCCTATGGACCAGAGTAATTGTAACATTTCTGCTATGGGCCTATTGATTCAGCCAATCCTTTGTAATTACTTAAAATAAAATAATACAAGTATTTCTTTTTTTTAGGACAAGCAAGGCTTTTCTTTCTGTGATACATTCTTGCAAAAATGATAAAAAAAAAAAAATCAAATCCATAGACAGAAATCATTAAAAAAAAGCACGTTTGTCTTCTTTGATCAGTGCTGGTTAAAATAAAGTACAGAGTTACTGTAGATAAAGAATAAACTTTATTCTCTCATTTGTCCCATTAGAAACAACACTAAAACTATGATTCTATAGTACAAAGCATCGCGCAGATATTCAGATCTGACTTAAAGGGACTTTTTAATATGAGACTAAAAGATTTACAGATAATTAGAATTAAAATCATCCGAATAATAATAGTGAGGGGGGTAGAAGAAGTGCATTAGGACCCGATCAGGATAAACTAAGGGGTTCATAATGGGTTTTATTTATTATATTTGTAGATAGTCTTGTTACTTTAACTGATATGCAAATGGAAGCTCATCCTTTGGATCTGCAGATGGAAGAAACTGTAGATATAGAAGAACAATGTTACTTTCTCTCGCCTGAACAGTTTATAAACACTGCAGCAGCTTCTACATCTGTTGTATTTACACAGCAACTCCCGGCTGTCATTTTGACAGGAATTGCTGGCAAGTACAAGGGGGATGCAACAGCGGGGCAGGAGGACGGGGCGTACTACATAGGTCGGGTGAACTCTAATGAAGTTTTTTTTGGTGTGTGTAGGAAGCTCAGTGTCAACAACAGGTTAATCATTTCTTTAGAGGAGGAGTCTGTGTCTACAGCTAAACACACCTATATCATAAAGTATTGATACAGAACAATAGAACAATATACTGTACACTGGACAGACAAGTATGAAAAGAGTTTCTCCGCTTATATATAATATTGTAAAGAGCCAATGAGGCCTCAACAGAAATACCAGCCACCCTTTAGGTTCATCAGGGGGCTGCTGATCCTTTTGATGTCAATGGCATCCAGCCAATGGAAGTCATTTTCCTTAATGATGCTGCAGTCCAATTGTCACTAAGATAGCTGCACTTGGTTATATGGCTGACCACAGACATACACTCTGCTCAGACTTCAAGCCAATCGATGGGTGGGTGGCTGGCATTCACCACAGACCTTAGCAACCAGCCCAACATCTACTAGTGTAACTGATATCAGATGTAGGAAGGTAAGGGGCGCCTTCTTGGGGCAATACCTTTACGCTCCGTTTGCCTCAGCAATAGTAAAATGAAAGGTCTGGAATACATTTATAAATATTCTACATTAATTGATTGTGACATTTTGTAGTTTATATTTTGCAGCACCAGTTCACAGATGTCAACAACACCATTGGGATAAGTGGACATTTGCAGATGCCTAAATGCAGAATAAAATGCTCTGTTTTCACTGTTTATCTCCATCTTGTCTGGCAAGTTTGGTGCTGTAAGGTGGGAACATAAAACGCTGCATTGTCTATCTTGTTCCTTTTTTACTTGCACAGGTTCTGGAAGCCTGGAAACTGCTGGAAGGTTTCTTATTAGAGAAGAGACATTCAAAACTGGAGCAGTTGCCCATAGTAACCTATCATCTTCTCTCTCTTTGGTTTGAAAGCTAGTGTGAACGCTGATTGGTTGCCACGGGCAACTGCTCCAGTTTCTGTCTGCTCCAGTTTTGATAAATTCCCCTCAATGTGTCTCTTGTGCACTAAAGGCTTCTTACCCTCCTCCTTGTAACCTTCTTTATACTGTACATTGAGCTGTGTATTCCGGGTGATGGGAACACCTGTGCACATGCCCGTACGTTATGCCACCCCATACCAGCCAATCAAGGTGGTGAGCAGATGTCAGTGCCTACAAGGGAGCTTGTGGATGTAATTGCGCTGCAGCAAAGGTGAATATAGGTGGAGTTTAGTTGTGCTCTAAGGCCAGATTCACACCATTTTCCGGACCAGATCTGGAACATGGTGCATTGCATTTTGCCGCGATTTTGAAGCATTTGTCTTAGCTTAAAATGAGCTTACAGATGTATTTTCTAGTGCATTCCAGACCAGACGAAATGAGACCAGCAGTATTATTTTTGTCTGGGCCGGAACGGACTGCGCTGGTGTGAACAGAGCCCAGAAATACTATAGGGATACATTGGGTCCGGGAAAAAACTGTTCTGGTCTGCACAAGCCCTAAAGAAAAACTATGGGGTGAGTAAAATACACTCATCCCCATAGTCAGAGCCGACATGGGATACGGCAGCTGTCACACGACGGCTCTATAGATCGAGACCTGAGCAATCACAAACTGCTGATCACTCAGCTCATTGCTCCCCGCAGGGATTCCCCCTTCTCCCTGTTCCTTCAGCAGTGACTGGAGGGACAGACAGGAGAAGGGGCTAGCACTGGCTCTAGAGAGGCGGAGCCAGCTGTCAATCAGGTAGTGGAGTGGATCCTGACAGCATGGCTCTGCGGTATGCGCATATGTCAGACTGTAGCCCGCTATTTGTTGAGTTTTGGGTCACAGGAGGACATTAGTAAATATTTTCCTGTGACCCAAGAGAACTACGGCGAAAAAAGGTTTGGCCATGGTTCTCTTTAAGGCCCCATATCGCGCAAATGCTTGCATTGAGCAAGCGAGAATCGCGGCAAAATCCGCTCCAAAAAGGGTCCTGCTGTAGTGACACACGACCCGCGACAGCAGGACGCTTTGCCCCATTGCAAAACATTGAAGAGCGATATCGCGCTGTAAATAGCCGCAATATTGCGGGAATTACCGTGCGATAAATCGCTCAATGTGAACGGGGCCTTAAAGTACCTCCTGCACCTGACTGGAAACACACAAGACTTGCTGCAGCTATTATACTCAGTAATGTGCATTACTGTAACGCATTACACCCTGACGTCCACATACAATGTCAAAGGATGCAGCTCTACTTCAGTAGAACACAACACATGTATGTGAATGTACACAAGTCATGGTGTGCCGCAATGCCTACAACAAGTACCGGGACATTTATTTCACCAATTATGGACAACATACGCAGTGAACGCAACGTCCTAACACAACACGCACAAACTGTGACCGTTCCCTTCAATATGTACTTTGTACTCGCTGCCTTACTTGCAGAAAGTGATGATCACACTGAAGGTTTTATGTATCACGGATCAGTTCTGTTTAACACCTCAGTGCTATGTTGGGGATTTCTGTTGTTTTGTATGTAAAAGTCAATTCACAAAAATAAATAATTGCTTCTGTCCTTAGTTATAGGGGTGACTGTTCATCAGAGCAGAGAATGGAGCCAATACATGATAATAAAAAGGGGAAGTATTTGGTGCAAGGAATATTCCCTCACCTATGATATATTTATGTACTCGAAGTGATGAGGAAATTATTGTCGGATAAAATAATGAACGCGGCTGATATTGTGTGTACGGCTTAGTGAACTGACCCCGCAAGAGCGAGATGCCACAGACACAGCAATGTGGGCACCTTACTCCATGACAACACGTTCTACAGAAATGACAGTTCAAGAGGCTGTACAGACATCATTCAGGGAGCGGACCATTGTACAGCATTGAATGGTGGAGTTAGGGTTTGTATGAAGGTATCTACAGACATTAGAGGGGGATGTTCTTCCGTTTGCAGACCCATCCGGGATCCTGGCCGAGCGAAGAGTTGGTTGGTTGGTTCCAGCCAATGACAATCACTTCGCCCAGCGCTCCCTTGGTAGAACCATCAGACGACCCGGGCACACACATGGTGTGTGATGGCTGTAGGCAGCTCCACCACATTCTTCCCTCAGTGTAATGAGCAGTGATATTAGTTTATTAGTAAAGGGTTAGTTTGCTTGCTATGCCTCTCCTCTCATGTGCACATACGTGATGGGATAAGGAAGTGAGGTAGAAGGTTCTGTTACCTCATCAGAAGATTCAGCCAGCTTGAGAAAGGAAAGGTGGTAAAAGAGAGTCAAGCCCAGGATGACTAGGACAGGTTAGACACACACACATTAGTACATGCAGCAAGACAAAACGTAGACGTGTCAACACAGATACATGCACATGGGAGGCGCCGAGAACATGCGGCACACATTCTATGGGAAGAGAACTCGGATAACAGCAGAACAGACACAAAATGTCCAGAGAATTGACTGATCTAGAGAAAATAATAATGAAATGAGGTTGTCCGGCTGTTTCTGACACTACGGAGTCTATTAATAAACATGTCTGCGAAGGTTCTCATTTACCCGGGTCATGGTATATCTGTAAAAAAAAAGTCAAGGCAACAAGAGTGGCAGTATTTTTCTTGAAGACGTTTCACTGGTCATCCAACCAGCTTTCTAAATTGAGAAAGCTGGTCAGATGTCTAGTGAAACGTCTTCAACAAAAATACAGCAAGTCCAGTTGCCTTGACTTATTTTTTACAGATATTCATAAACAGTTATTCATCCAAAATGAACATTCACAGGTACTTGTAGGATGAAGGACCCGGTGAATATCTGTGATCACTCATTCTGGATGAATAATGCCAAAAACGAATGCTCTTATATCTGTTTCAAATGTAGTGTGTTATAATAATACATTATGGCCCCTAGATGGAGCTGAAGAGCATGGAGAATAAGTATTGATGTCCTATGCTCCTCAGCGCCATCTAGTGGCCATATTGTATTATTACAACACACTACACAACTGGAAACAAATATTTTAGGAACATTTGTTTTTGCCATTATTCAGCCAGAATGAACCTTCACAGATATAACTAGAGACCAATGTGAGTCTCTGACCTGAAACAAGAATACAATGAGTGAAGTTAGAACTCTGGATTTGCTTACTTGTTCTAAGTCGGTGACTCAAAGATTCAAAGCCATTGGATCCGCCTGATAGCCAGGCAACCTTTGGCAACAGATTAAATATTTCTGTGTGCTAATGCTCGATACTCCCACACCAACTTTATTCTATGTGACCTAAAACAGACCTGCAAATCCCGCTTTTCCTGAACTAAGTTTTTCAATGAATATTCAAGAGAGAAAATAAAATCTGCCAAATTCTGTAAACTTCCTCTTCCATCAGAGATTGACATGCAGGGTCCGTCTTCCCAAACGTTATGTCTCAGGTAATAGTCTTGGAATGATTTGTAGTCACGGCATTACATCTCTTATTCCAATAACGACGAGGGACCAATAATCAAAAACACATCAGCAAAAAGAACTCGGAACCCGTACAGACGTTTATTCCTAATCAAACATTACAATCCCATTTCTCCGGGTTGGCGCCATTACTTAATTCTCCGGTATCTCCAAAAGCAATAACCTCATCGTGCCTCCAGACCCCCTACCCGGCTCATAGAAATTGTATCTACGTTTTTATATCTAATATTGAGGTTTCCAGCCCATACTTGCCCCGCGATGAGATTACTACTCCACACGTTCCCCAGATATTACATAAACTTCTTCAGGAGAATAAAGAAGGGGTAGCTGATCATTTTATTTCTGCACTCGGCCAGTTAGGCACTTAATCCAGCGATTGCATGAAGCGCATGACTGGCCGAGTGCAGAAATGAAACGAGAGTTCTTTTTGTTCATGTATTTTGGGTTAATGGCCTCTTGTGTTGAATGGAATGTTTGCAGTATTTTAGTTAAAGGAGAACTATGAGGGGAGTGATTTTCCCTCATCCTCCTAGTTCGAGCCGATGTGCGACACTGAAACTGTCACAGGTCGGCTCTATAGATCGGGAAGTGAGCGAACACATACCGTCGCTCGCTCACTACTCGATCCTGTCCCTGCAGAGAGCCGTGACTGTCACTCACGGCTCCCTGCAGGGATTCTTCCCCTCCCCTGTCCGATCCTACAGCACTGACTGGAGAAACGAATGGGGGAGGGTACAGCTGGCTTTGCCTCTAGATAGGCAGAGCCAGCTGTCACTCACGCAGCTGGGTAGATCTCGACAGCGTTGTCTGGATCGTCCCGGCTGCGGCGGTCTCAGTATACCGCAAGCTGTAGCTCCCTATATACTGAGCTTTGGGTCACGGCAGAACGCTAGTATATGTTCTCCCGTAACCCTGAGGAGAACTATGGGGGAAAACAGTTACCCCATAGTTCTCTTTTAATGATGGGGGGGGGGTTGAATCAGTCACTGGCTTCTTACATGTCTTGGATACAGCATGTTATGCGGTACAAAGTTCCGCCAACAAAAAAGTTGGACAATACAAGGACAGCATAACAGGGACCAGGGAAGGTTACACTTGAAGGACGACAGCCTGACACCTTTCTTTGTACATGCAGATGTGTTGATGACAGTTATCATGCGTGTATGGATGTCTGCCACCCCGGACACTCAAGGCTGCAGTCTGTCTCAGGTATTCAGACCTGATTTTACTTGGTCAGAGTTGCTCTTTAACATCTTGCTGTGTACGTGTGACTGTCACTCTCTGTTCTAGGAGCTTCAACCCTCCAAAAGCCAATTCTGTGTGACCTTCTGAATCCTCCTCCCCGGTGTATGGCCACTTCTAGGATAGGATTCAAAGATTCTCTTAGAAGTATTTCCAGCTCTGTACAGATTAAACATCTATAGAAAAGATGCTCCGTACAGCCGCCTCTCCTCATTTCTACAGCAGACAGTGTGGCCGGGAAGCACAATAGAAACGCATATTTATTGTGTGCCTGTGTACAGCCCCACGGTGCCGGGTAATGAGAGGACATTCATCACACACTGACGGGGTCTTCCTTATCTTCCTTCACGTTTCAGCGGAACAAAATGAACGGCGGTAAGATGCATTACATTTCTGTTCGGAAAGTACCTCCGCTTCCGTGTATGAGCCAAAGTTCTTCATTACTAACCGCTATCGGCGTGAACTTACCCTCTGAGCATTCACAAACATCTTGTGGATGATCGTGCCGGCCACCCCTCGGGCCGCTCCAATGATTGGCACTTCAGGCTGTTCCAGAAGACAACTGACAAACCTGCCGGTGAGAAGAAATCAGGAGGTCGGTGAGAACAAGAGAATGCAATGGGTTAAATAATACAAATTGCAGCCATTACCTATCAGATGAGTGGTATGGGGGGGGAGGGGTGAAGAGTTACACACTTCGTCATGGAATCAGTTCCTACTAAAAAGTTTGTTTCTTCTCTCCAGTATTCTATGGAGGCCCCAGGTTCCAAAATCCTGCTGGCACGGTAAATGACTTCTCCCCATATGTGGCCTTATTGTGTGTGTCTGTATGCCTGCAGCAGGACACTGGACTATAGTCTTGTTGGAGGGTGAGGACAGATCTGATTGGTTTAGGGTCCTCTGTAAGCTCAGGGAATATTTTCACGCCATATAAATGAGTAGAGTAAGGGAGTATAATTTTAGGGTCCAGACCCCCGGTGCCCAACCTGCGGCCCTCAGGCCTCCGCGCAGAGTAATCTACGTTTCCCTTACCTAGGTGCTTGCCAATGTGTAATGTGCCTCCAGTCTATGACTAGCAAAACAAAAAGTTTCCCAGCACACTCACCAGCCACCATGCAAAAAAAACAAAACCTGTCTCACTGCTAAAGTTAAAAACGTCTTCTGCAGAATATGTGGAAGCTGCTTAAAGGCACAGGGACATACCAGGGACCCCCGCACATCACAACGGCAGCTGAGACCCCCAGTGTGTCACTGCACCAAATCAGTCAAGCAAAACAAATGGCAAACGCACTCATCAACTGATAACCAGCTATAACGCAAGGTGCACATGGAAGGGTCGGTTAGGAGTTGAGTGCGTTTGCCATCTGATTTGCTTGACTGATTTGGTGCAGTGACACACTGGGGGTCTCAGTTGCCGTTGTGATGTGCGGGGTCCCTGGTGTGTCCTTTATGGAGGATGGGCTGCCTCCTGGCAAACCTGCACTCAATTTGTCTTTGAAAGATGGAGACTCTCATAGGTTAGAGTTAGGACCGCACTACACAGAGGAGTCTTGGCGTGGCAGTGCGGCTTTCACATATCTGTTTTACAGATAACCTCACACCAGCCACTGTCTAAGAACACAATGCAAAATAAGAGAAGGGAATGTATACAAAAAAAGCCAGACGTCTCACAAAGAGCACCTGTATACAAGGTAAGTGTATGTGTGCACACACACAGTATATGTATAAACACACACATACACACACATATATACACTGAGTGGCCAGATTATTATGGCCACCCCATCAGTACTTCGGCCACGAGATGACTCCACGAGATGACTTAGTTGGGCCGTCTGGTGACTCCACGAGATGATGAAAGGTGATGCGAGGAATCTGACACGGCACTGTTGCCCTTCTGTTGTCTTGTACCAGTCTTGCCACTCTCCGTTCTACCCTAACATTGACTAGTCGCTGACGGCCACAATTCGCACGTTCAGACCCAGATTTTCGGCTGATAGTCCGGTCTTCAAACACTTTAACAACAGCTGCTCTTGAACATTTAACAAATTCTGCTGTTTTGCTGATACTCGCTCCATGGCTCCGAGCGCCAACAATCATCCCACGTACAAAGGCTGTTAAATCGCGTTGTTTCCCCGTATCTTCAGAAACAAATCACTTCTACTGTCGTGGTAAACAACCTGCTTCCCTATTTATAATGGTCTGGCCCTCTAGCAACTTCAGCGCAAAATTATAGCTAATTTGCCTACAAACGTCAGGTGGTCATAATAATCTGGCCACTCAGTGTATATACATACACACACACTCACATTTACTTATTCTCACTTGAGATGGCAAATAAAATATATTGTTTTCTCATACCCTATCGAATCTAAATGTGACAGGTTCTCTTTAATATCAGCATACGTACGTCTCTAGATCCTCCTTCTCCTCGGGGTTTTCACAACGCTCTGTGGCAAACTTTTCTTTTAGTGACCGGGCTCTCGCTATGGTGGCCTCGACATTTGCAATCTGGCTAATGATGTCCTGAGGAGGAGACAAGGGAGGAAAAAAAAAAAAATGAACAATTTTTATTTACTAAAAACACCACAAACGGCGATGATGACACGCAGGTGTCATAACAATCAGGTTTGACCTTTCATGGGTTTTGAACGATGGATAATGATTGCTCATGGATCACATACCGTGTTTTCCCAAAAATAAGACCTAGTTGTGACCATTCCCAGGGCCGGTAGTAGCATAAGGGGGAACTTGAAGAGAATCAGCGGTGCCAACGTAGCCAGCGCTAGAGGAAGCGAGGCGGCACCCGAGGGAGCGAGGCGGCACCGGAGGGAGTAGAGCCGCACAAGCCGATCCTTTCTCTATAGCGCCGGCTCCTGTCACAGGCGGAGTGATACCAAATGCGCTCCGCCTGTGAGGAATCGATAGTGAAAGCGCGCTTCACTCATTCTGGTCACCAAATTGCTCTTGGAAAGGTACGGCACCCCTAATTGCCCCGATCACCCTATTCTTAACTTTGCCATTTTGGATTGTTGTACATTAAAAAAAAAATAAGACCCAAGAGCCAAAAAAATATATAAGACACTGTCTTATTTTCGGGGAAACACTGTACCTATATTACTCTTTGCCTAAACCAAGGGAATTTGTCCCAAGAACAGAGCACATGGTGCCGTCCACTAACTAGTAACACCTTTTATGTAAAGTCCGTCAATACTGTCACACCGGAATACCAGCACTGCTCCGGACTCCGTAAAGTCTGGAGTATGGAAAAGCAATTCCCGCCTCCTTGTGATGTGCTTCACCACTCTGGGGCCTCGCCTGATGAGTGACAGATATACATGATGATCTTGGAAGCCCGTGTCCCTCCTCACCTCCATCTTCTTGTCCTCGGGGTTTGGGAATCGCAGGATTTTACTGGCATGGGAGACGATCCGTTTTATGGAGGCCTGCACAGAAGGAATGTCTTCTACTATTTCTGGAAGAGAGATGAAGATGTCATCAATGAGCAGTGACGGGCAATGTGCAGTACAAAGGGGGGAGCACAACAACTTACCTTTGGCATTTACTTTCTGCTATGTACAAGTCTATCGGTGGACAATGGGCATGCTACACAAACCCCATAAAAACTAACACGCCCGGTCCTTCTGCCCTCCTCCCCCACTTGCAGACAGTTCCCAGTTGTAAAACCGACAGCTGTGTAATGATAACAGATGTGGAAGCAGCTGCTGCCGGAATAACAGACCGTCCGACATTGTGTCTCTAAACATTGTTCACAGGAAAGATATAAAAACAAGAAATGTTTTCCTATTTACGCTCCCATTGACCCTTAGTTTTCCCTCATCGGAGAATTATGGGGAGAGTGAAAATCACTTATCCCCACAATTCAAGCCGACCTGTAACACTGAAGCACTCACTCACTTCCCGATCTTCGCAGGTATTCCTCCCCTCTCGATCCTCCAGCGCTGACTGCAGCTGACTAGATAGGCAGAGCCAGCTGTCAATCAGCCAGTGAGTAGATCCTGACAGCAGCTCTGCGTTCTCAGCATATAGCCGGCAATATACGGAGTTTTGGGTCACAGGAGGACGCTATATGTCCTCCTGTGACCCTGAAGAGAACTATGGGGGGAAAAAGCATAGCCCATAGTTCTCTTCTAACTCCTTTCCCTTCTCCCCATAACGATTATTTTTCTGATGATTGTTTATTTAACATTTTTCTAACCATTCATATTTAAGCTTTATTTTATTTTTTATTGGTTTTGTTCATTTTTCTTTCAAGTCTCGCATTAAAACAAATAACGCAAACTCTGTAAATAAAATGTGTAAATATTTTTGCAATGTTTTGTACAAGAATTCAAATTTTTGTGTCATTTAAAAAGGACAAATTATAGAACTAAATTTTTTTTTTTTAACCTACAGTAACAATTTTTTTAAACCAACACTGATCAAAATAGAAAAAAAAGTGTTTTGTTTTTTTTAGTTTTGTTACATTTGTAG